GTCCCTGAATGGAAGAGCACAGGAGGTTTGCAAAGACTGTGGTAAATCTAGTGCAAACTGATCCTCGTCGCTCTAGCGACCCGCCCCCGGTGGTATGTCTTTTCACACCAGAGCTGAATGTCTCGTTTCTCTTTAATCTGCTAAGGACTCGTACGAGGCGTTTCTGTGCGCTTCTGTCTCCCCGTGAAGGAGTGGCCGCCGCTGCCCGTTGTGGGAAGGGTGTTTCCCCTCCCCGGCTGGTCGGGTTAAGAGTTAAAAGCGACTTTCTCTCCGTGAGTTGCAACTCTCCTCCGGTCCCGCCCCTACGGATGACACACCAGGGTGAGTCAGCGTGTGGAAATCTGTGCTGGCCTTAATGATGAGGAAAAAGTCGTTTGGCTGCGCTGAAAACCTGAAGTTTTCTCACCAAAGGAAACTAGCACAGCATTCCCCGGGACAGAAAATGTCTCCTCTCATCCCTCCACAAGCCTCAGTTCATGAGCGGTTGGGTGAGGGTAAAACCTCAGTTTTATCTTTGTGTTGTATCAATTCAGACCGTTGCTCTGAGAGACAGCAAGTTAGAGGATCCAGTTTCAGTAAAGCTGTGAGACTTCACCTCTTCCCTGCTCTGCAAACTCTTGTCCTCTAGGAGCTGGACTGAGGTGGCCAGCTGTCATTCAGTGGAAGGCACCAAACCACTTACCACGCTTGGCTTCCAGTGGCTGGAGATACTGGAACTGAGGTGGTAACTTTAGTGCATGAAATAATCTATTTCACTTTACTAGTTCTCAAGAAAAGATAATTTGAAATGCTCTTTCAAGAGCAGGTATCAAAGGTACAAAAGTGCAGAGGATCGGCTCCACCGTTAGTACTTAAGGGCAAACAAAATAGTCTTGTTGCTCAAGGCTTATGGTTAACAGCATTTTAAGGATTTCTTCCATACCAGTCCTTGTTGTCCCAGTGATTGAATATTAGACTTTAAAAAGGTGCTATAGAAGAGATGCAGTAAACCTAAATAAAAATAGTTGTCCATTTGTTTGCAGAGAAGTAGAATTTTTTGCCTCACAGTAGTGCGCAAATGTGAACCTAATATTTTTAGTGATTATGTCTTCCTCTTAGAGAGAGAGAGAAACCTTACCGCCCTGCAAGAAATGTACTGATGCATCGTGTGTGTGTGTGTGTGTGTATTTCTTGTTCCCTGTGGGGTAGGTTTGTTGCTGGATGTTTCATGCGTAGCACTGGTGACCAATGTAGAGTTCTTCATAGTCTTGGATAAGGCACACTGGTGGTGAAATTATTTCCAATGAAATAAAATTGTGCATGACACAGTATGTCCAAATGAATTTTGGAAAAGACGTTTCAGGAAGTAAAGGTTATCTGAGCACCTGGCATTCTTACGCAGTCAGTTCCCATCCTTGCTCCACCAGCCATGGTTGCCATCTTTTGGAGGGGGCTTCTCTTGAGTAGTGCTAAGTAATGATGCCATTTCCTTCTTCCTTACAAGAAATTGCTTAGTTTTGTGCACTCCATGTTCCTGTCACCAGGAAGTGAAGATTAGGAATCCAGTCTGTCTCCTACAAGACTGTGCAAAGTAGTAGCCCAGAAGTTAAGCTTCTTACAGCAATTTTAGTGACTCACAGGAAAAATATGTCTTGTTTCCTTCTAATACAACCCTCCCTCAAAAAATAAAGCAAAAAACTCAGCAACCACTGTTTGCAGAGGAGTGAAGACACAGTAAATAACTTAGAGTAAAAAGCTTTCCTTTTTGATTCCTGGTAAAGATGAAGAGGTTTAATTTGTGAAATACTAGCTGCACTGCCTATAGTGGTTCATTTTAGAGTTTCCAGCCAAAATGAGAAGTGGCCTGTTTTCAATGACATGTGAAAATTTAGTGCTATGTTGATAGTCTGAAATGGAGATCTTCTGACATTGCAGATGAAATATGTGCCACTGAAGTTCAGTTGTGGTTTAGCTGGCCATGGAGTTGGGATATAATCATATTATTTTAACTCCTGGAGATCATTACTACTTTGGGAAATAAAACCCTCAAGCATCAGAACTGTCAAGATACATATTTTGAACTTTTATTTAAAGTAATACTAGGTTTTATTTATTTTGGAATGTTTATCCAGGTTTTCATTATTAAAACTAGATGAGAACAAGGGTTTGAGTATTTGAGTAATAATAATAAAAAGGCAAAACACAAACCTATAAATTTTCAATTTTTTTAAATATGAAAACTAGCTGTTTTGAAATAACTGCTTGCTTTATGCAAAACTGTTTATCCTAGAATATGGATTTAAGCATTTATTCACCTCACATGCTTGATTTGAAAAAGCACAGATTTGTGGTTTATATAAGGATGGCGCTGCTACTATAGTTAACCAGGTTTTGTCCAAAAAAGGCCAAACCTCCCAATGGATTTGCCCAGGCCAGGACCGGGTTCTCATAGAAACCCACTAAACTCAATCCTCAATCAATCCATTGCCAACTCCAAGAATTATTTCCTTGTAATTTTGGCAAAATGCTGAACACAAGATGAATGCTCCTCATTTTTCTTTTTTGTCGGCTTCCAGATGTAATGGGTAATGATGTGTATGACCTGAGAGGGTGGAGAAATGTGTGAATTTTGGAAACAGAGGGTTTTGACTGAACACCTAGAAAATCCGCGTGCAGGACTGGCTCTGCGTTGGAAAGCACCCTCCAGCCCTTCTTCCTCCTTTCTCTCCAGTCTGTCAGCGCAGGGAATGAAAAATGCTTTCCCTGACAGGCATCCCCCTACCAGCTGGGGGTGTGTGTGTGTCACAGCTATGCTGGCAGAGTGTTTTTATTGGCCTCTGTGTGTCATCTGGGGAGGTGAAACAACTATGTCAATAAGAGCAGTGCTTTTGATGTGCTCTCGATGCGTCCCCATTAGAGGGCTCTGCCAACGTAGCTGTGGTGTTACCACTTGTGCAGAGGGCACTGAGAGTAGTTGGGACCTACAAAAGTGATTAACAAGAGCGTCATGCTGGTGTGTGTGTTTGGGGAGGGTGCTGCATGCCATGAGGGTGGTTTTATCATTGTTTCAGAATAGAATAATACCGCTAAATTGTGGACTTAATCTTTTTAAAATTAATTTTGGGGAGCTTCCGATTCGGGTGAATTAAAGGTGAGTGTCTTTCCACAATGTATGAGTTTTAAAACTCTCAGACAAAAGAAACATCATAGCGTGGTGAGGAATAAAAATACTCATTTCATTATTGGAATGGGATCATTTTAGAGATTACTAATAATATATGTTAAGTCCTGTGTGGTTGACTGTTAAGTGAGAATGGACCCTTTATTTTAACACCCTCCAGTGGTACTTCACAAGATTATGTGACTTGAATTAAATGTTGGGAAATTCTGTGAAAATGGCATTCTATTTTTTCTCTATTTCAAGCTTCATTAAGTATATTTGCACTTAGAAGTTGCAAGCAAGAGGTTAACATTTCAAATGCTTAAAAATGCAATACACTCACAATTTTAAAAGTAAAATAAAATAAAGTAGCAGCAGACTCTTCCCCCCCCCACCCCCCACCCCCTTCTTTAAGGGACCTTTCTAACACTGTGCTGGTCTCCTGTTGATTTGATTAATGAATATTTTACCTATTAAAAGTAACCATTAATTATTGCATTTGGTTGCAGCAATAATTGTATGTTTCAAATAAAAACGAATTAACATAGTAAGTGGAAAAGCATCACGGCACATGAAGTGTGCTTGCAGTTCACTACATCTGAAAGATCACAAGACACCTTTTTGACATTTGTAGCTCTGCAGCTAGTTACCAGCAATTATGTTCCATTTGAATAGCAATTAAGTATCTGATTCACAGCATTACTCTTTATATTCTGAGACATGAGCTACTGAGAATATTATGAGGATGTCTGCAATCACAGTGCACAGTAATATTCTCTTAATGAATTACGGTTATACCCTTCTACACAGCTTCCTGCTTCGTAGTTGCTGCTGGAGTTTTGGGTGGGTTTTCGGAGGAGGGGGTGCATGGGAGATGGCTTAAAAACTGGCTGATCAGGTGCCATCCCTTCTGTCAGAGGCAACGGCAGGCTGAAGCAGCCATAGGTGGTAGCCTGTTGTTTGGCTGGGCCAGAGGTCTGAGGCGGCCCACGTGGACTCGGCTGTATCTCTAATCGGACTAGCTTCTAATGGGACCAGGAAAGGCCACAGCTTGAATTTCTCTGCTGAGAGAGGATGCTAGTTGTGCTCACCTGCTGGAGAGAGGGTGTTCAGGTGCAGGATGGTATGCAGAGAGCTCACACACCTTGTAAGGATGGAAAAGGAGCTGTGATGTTGTTCCTCACAGGCTGTGTATGACCTACAAGCTTCCCACTGAGAACACTCACAGTATATGATCCTTTTTTTTTAATCTTTCAAATAAAGAATTTCACAGATTCTGCACTTGGTTTACAGTACTGTAAATTGGTGTAAAGCAAGAAAGTAACTCTTAGGGCAACCTCAGGCAAGTTCTGGTCAACCAGATTGCCGCACTGAGGAACAAAGGAACAGATCGGTTGCTTGGATCTGTCCACTACCTCGCAGTTATCCTAGCATGTTTGATGCTGTCCAACCTCGGTTAATGCAAATTATTTTGGGGACAGAGGAATGGAAAGTTCTTTTAATTTCTGGCAAGGGAAAACTCTTCTTAAGGCAGTAGACTGTCTGTAATAAGGACCACAAGAGTAGCAAAGTAATATATTTTCAAATAAACAGATGAAGGCATGACTAAGTTGATCAAGTGTTTGGGTTGAGAACTTCTGTCCTGTTCTTATTTGTGTGTTGTGTTATTTATATATAATATGTGGCACTGGAAAGTTATGCACACTCTCATTTTTCACTTTAATTGCCTATTTGAAGACAGCATGGCAGATACAAAGGTTGCTTTCAGCAACTGAGGAGCACTGTGGTCACTTACTAGTGTGCAATAATTAACTTAGTTGCAGAAATTAGAACATTTTAAAGATTCAGGATCCATGATTGGACTCGATGCATTCTTTCTCTTTTCTGTTGTCCATATCTGAAATATTTTTTTCTTACATGTGCTTATATCACAAATATTTTTTAGTAATGAAAGATAGGTTTCAGAAGATTTCCAAATCCTTGTGTTTACATTTGCTTGGATATTTGGTTTTTTGATTAAAAACTGAAAATGTCAAATGATCTATTCGGTTGTGTTGCTGAGCTACCATTTTAACCTGAAATCCTTTTAGTAATTATGCATTAAATTAGTACAGTTGAAGCTGTAACCAGAACCCTATTTGGCTGGGCAATGGGAGGTGAGGGATGGCCATTACTTCCAAGA